AAATTTGTGCGTATGACTGCCTGCGACAGCCGCAGGGACTTGTTACGCCAGTTGAACAATTATGGAAGTGATGTCTTCTTAAAGGTGAACATTTACCTTCGTTCTGGCGTACTGTACCTTCGCCTTTTGCTCCATTCTCCTGCGTACAGTATCAAGGTGTCAACTTATATCATATACGCGCTGTAGGAAAAATCTACGGCAAAAAAAAGGCACAGTCTTGTAGAACATTTGCCTGGTACCACCGTACCTCAGCCAGTACGGCTTTTGGGGTACGGAGTATGGTTTTTCATGACATGGGCTCTCATGGGAAGCACGGTTTTTGGGTACAGCTGTTCTGTACATCGTGTGGTACGGTCTAGCTTTACCCTTTTCCTTGAAATGTACGGCCTTTTTAGCAGTGTGTCGCAGTGTGTGAGGTTGGGTAAGGGTGGTGGTGAATCTCGACGTGCTGCCACCTTCTCGTGGTGAGGGCTGAATCGTCTCGAATTTCCGGGCGAGCCAAGAGCAGTACAGTGGAAACCTAATGTTTGGAAAACGGATTTAACCAAACCTTCAATGGAAATAGCGTTCTAAAGGTCTCTCCATCCGATTGTCAATATACTGGTAGGTGCCTGACGCAAAGACACCATCTAGTAATCGATTTTTAGTCACTACAGTCCATACGGATGAGACGAGTGCCCTACAGTGCCCTGAGTACCGATAATTGGCATTTTTATTAAAACATGTGTTTTTGGCGTCCAAATTCTAACGTGTGAACGGGTCCCGGGGTACCCCGTGTGCTTAAAACGGGAAAGGGGTCCTTAGAAAAGATGATTCGGGGTATGGTTCGGGTACAGTGACGTCAGGATGGCCGTATCAAACCCTGAAGGCAATTTTTGCATTTAGAAAGAAACGGGAAAAAAATGTAATTTTGTGATTGTCTTCCATCGGCCCGGTACTGCTCGTAGAGGGTCCCGGTGGTCTTAAACTGATAAAGCATGATCAGACGTTTCCATTTCCGTCTCGGAAACATCATTTGAACATCAGGTTCAGTTTCTATGGCTGTTTTTAGAAAACCCGTAAAAGACGAATTTTCGAATTTTCTACGTCGATGCGCGAGGGTCAAGCTTTAAGTTACAGACCTGGCCCAGATCGCGTTGAGTTTGTATTGCCATGAAGTAACTTTGGCGCGCTATTACGGTTGCGATATCGAAAAATCGTGTTTCACGGTCCACCCTAATGTGCGTACGCCGCCCGCGGTGGCGTACCAGCGGCTGGCGCGACGCGGCCGGCCCGAGGAATCGGCGGTGACCGCCGCGTACCTGGCCGACCTCCACTCCCTGACCGAGGCCTGGTTGCTGGAGCACGAGGACGCCCCAGTCCACGTCATTGACGGGCTGCAGTCGCCGGCCCAGGTCCTCGCGGACGCCCGGCGCATCCTCGCGGCGATCCAGGCGGATCCAAGGGGGAAATCACTTGTGTAATGGTCGGTCGAAGGGTCTGTAATAGCCCTGTAATGGCCCTGTAATATGTAATACCTATGTAATAGGTGTAATATTGGTGTAATGCCTGTAATGGTCCTGTAATGCCTGTAATAGGTGTGTAATAGGTGTAATATGTGGGAAGAAAAATACAGAAAATGACTAAAAAATTCGCGAAAGTCAGCAAAAAAGTCATTTGGCTGCAATAAAAGTAATACCCAACGTCCGGATCGAGCCGAAAGCAAGCCGAAAGTGGCATGCAGGGTGGGGGGTGTCTCTAGTGGGGGCAGGCGAGGGGCTGAATCTGTAAGGAGGGGTAGTCTAAGCCCTAATCTGGTTAAATAGGTACAAGCTCTTAATTGTTTGGAAAGACAAAGGTTGGTGTGGCCAAAAGACATTCTTGTCAAATGATATTTCGGCCAAGATTCAAATTCCCAATTTTTTCATGGAAAATGATTAATGCAAGGGCTGAATTTTATCAGGAGGGTTCCAAAAGAATCCGACCAGCCCGGTCCGGCAAAACCCCGCACGCCCAGACGGCTACCTCCAGCAGCTACCTGGGCGCGGGGTAGCGCCGGCCAGCCGCGGCGGTCTGATTTTTTTACAAGTGGTATTAAAGGTATTGGGGGGGGGGGCAATGAAAGATTCCCCGAGACAGCTAACAACAGCGACCAGCTGAGCTGCCACTGCTGTACTACCTAGCGATACCCCGTGCCCACGGAACAAAATATTGTCCCTCTGGAGGCTAATACCTATTTCCAAGGCCGTTTTAGCTGCGTAATAGCCTTGTAATAGTAGTGTAATAGCTGTAATTGATAGGTAATACCTGTGTAATTGCGTAATAGGTGCGTAATGGGCGTAATGATTTAATTGCTGTAATTGCTGTAATTGCACTGTAATGGTACTGTAATAGCAGAAATATCGATGTAATATCTGTAATTTGCGTAATAGGTGTAATTGTCTGTAATGATTCAAAATGTAGTAGTCGGTCGACCATTTTCATGAGTGATTTCCCCCTTGGGCGGATCCCGGCTTCCGCAGCCGCCCCCGCACTCCGCCCGCCCCGGCCCGCCGCGCGGCATGAAGCAATCTGGTACCGAACCAGCCTCCGGACCATCCCGGTCAACAAATTTTCAGTTCCAGGCCCCGAGCTGGCCTTTCCGCGCATCAGCAGCGCTGCGCCAGTCGCCCGGGCTCCTGTCTCCGCCCTCCGCCCGGACTCCCGGCGCCCCCGAGATCCTGACTCCGTCCGCCTGCCTGGACGGACACCCGGCGCTCCCGAGTTCCTGACCCCGACCACCTGCCGGATGCCCGGCGTTCCCGCGTGCTCCTGACTCCAGCTTCCGTCCAGTCCCCCGGCTCCCGTTCCCGCTCCCGTTCCCGGCTCCCGGATTTCCCGGCCACCACTCCGAGCAGCCTCCTTCCTCCCCGGAACCCGGAGGGGGATGAAGTGTTATATTCGGGACTTGACCGAAGTTACTCGGCTTTGGCTGTACCCCGGCCCTCACGGAGTGCCATTGTTCGGGACGGGCCGGGCCCCCGCGCGGGGCGATTCTTGCCAGACGGCTGACTGCTCTGGTACCGAGAGGACGCTCTCACTTGTACCCTGTCTCCAATAAATCCTTCCCACCTCCAAGTGACTCGGCTCATTCTCTACTGAGAGCCAGAATATTACATTCCGGTGACGGGCCAAGTCCGCGCTCAGGATGTCCACCTGACGCCGGAGGGCCGCCAGGCGGTACGCGACCCCGGGATCCTGTTCAGGCAGAGGATGGGGAACCGGTACCTGCTGGCCGGCGGGCGGGGCCGCTGCAGGCGGGGGAGGGGGCGGGTGCGGGGCTGCATCCGGGCGGCGGTCGAGGGGGCCGCGGCGCTCCATGGGGGCCGGCGCGGGGCGCGCAGGCACAAGCCGGGCGAAAGCCGAGCGGGGCGGGGCAGGAGCGGCCGGGGGGAGGATGGGACGGCGCGGTGCGGCGGGTGCAGGGGCGGGCAGGGCAGGGGCGACCGGCGGATGGACTGGCCTGAGACGAGGGGTGTCCTGGAGCTCTGCCGGTAGGGCAGCCGGCGGGGTGGCCGGGGGAAGCTGGGCGATTCGCCGGGATGTCCGGGACGGCCTCGGCTGGTAAGGGAGGGTGGGGCACCATGACCACTGGGGCACCATGACCACCCCCCTCGCTCTCGGGAACTACTTTGCCGACGGCAACCGGTCGACCGGACTTTCGAGAGAATAGAATTCTAACTATTTTCAGCCAGAGCCCTACCTTCTAGCTTCAAGGATACGACCATAGCACCTCGCCAAAATTTTTGTTACAGCGTTTTGGCTAAATTGGGCGTTTTTCAAATCTGGGATATTTTTTCTCACTCTCACATTTTAGAAGATAGGTTCGATGTCTTAGGTTTTTCTCAAAATGTCGGCTCTTCGGCAAAATATCCAACATCACATTTAATTCTAAGTAGTTGTTTGCTTGCTCGGGGAGCCTTAGAGTCGTAAAATGCACTGTAGGGCACCATGACCACTTTTTAGTGGGGCACCATGACCACACATATTTGAGTGTTTTTCTCATATTTTGGCCTGATAATGATTTATTTTCGTCGAAAATTTGCTTTTTGTTTCTGAAAATGTATAAAGGTTGAATAATTGCTGCAGAATAGATAGTTTTATCAGAAATTTGTGATAATTTGTGAATCACCAAGATGATTAAGAATGGTTCTGAAACTGAGACTTGAATGGTGGTTTCTCTTGCACTAAATGAGCTCCAAACCGCAAAAGTTGGCCGCGAAGGCGATCCGTGGCTACTTTGCACCAAGATGGCTCTGGCATTATGAGAAACAGCATTTAATTCACTTGTTTGCAGTGTAGTAACCGCGATAATTTTCTTAAAATTTCCAAATTGAAATCTGCATACGAATTTGGACTCGTCTTAGCAAGACAAACATAAAATGTCAACACATGTCATAGCTTTGGATGTGAAATTTGAAAGCCTTAGAGCGTTAACTGTTTTAAACCGTCCATTTCAAGGCATCTTAGAACGTTTGATACTTCGAAGGTTTTTACAGTGTTTTTTAGTTTAGTTGCCTGGCCTGATGGTAATGACAGCGATATAAACAATTTCAATGAGAATACTGGTAGAAAGTACACTTTTTTGGGCCAAAAAATTACTATGGTCATGGTGCCCCACGGGGTGGTCATGGTGCCCCATAGGTGGGGCACCATGACCACTTTGCGTTTTATTTTCCAAAGTGTTCTGTGAGCCTGCCGTGCATTGCAGACAAGTTCCAATGGGTGGAAGAGGTCCTTGGAGGTCCAAAGAATCCCCTCAGGCTAGAAACTTAACTGTTCGAACCACACGGTGGAGTAGAGGGAGGCACAAAAAAAAAGTGGTCATGGTGCCCCACCCTCCCTTACATCAGCCGGGGGACATCCTGAGCGCGGACTTGGCCCGTCACCCGGGGGCGAACGCCGCCGCACCCGCTGCCCTGCCTCCCCCCGCCCCGGTCCCGTACGGAGTGCCGGCGTCGCTGGGGCCACATACAACTTGCTCAAATTTGCATGTAAGCCACTCGTGTTGCGCCAACCCGCCGCTTTAGTTTGAGCGGTTTCCTTTCTTCTTCCCTTGCTGAGCCTTCCCTCCTTTTTGGCTTATTTGTTTGGAAGGTGACGCTCTTAGGAGATTTCTGCTTCTTGGCCTTAGGTTTGGGTGTCGGCGGGCGCTTCTTCTTTCCTCCCGAGGACTTGGAGCTCTTGCTGTGACGGGACTTGTGGGAACCAGATCCTGACTTGCTGCCGCCTGATCTTGACCTCGAGGGGGAGCCGCTCTTCTTGGAGCCAGATGTCTTAGAGTTGCGTGACCCCTTGCTGCCGCTCGCTCTCGAGTTGCTGCGTGAGTTCCCCCGTCCTGAAGACTGTTTGGATCCTCTTGATTGGCTTCGCCGCTGGGGGGATCTTGAGCTCGAACGCTGCTTCTGCTTCTGGTTGGCTGAAGAGGAACGTCCACGCTTCTGCCGCCGCTGAGGATTCTGCTGCTTGGACCTTGATGGCCTGGAGTTGCCAGATGCCGCCTTGCTTGCTGAGCGGGCCCGTTTTGTGCCGTACTCTGGCTCGAACATGTACCTGTCAACGGCACTCACCGTGTTTTCAGGAGGTGCTAATGGCAAAGGTATGTATATCGGGTGCGCACCAGAAAAGTTTCGCCAGATTGCAACCCCAAGTGCCACTTATTGCTGCTGCTGCAAGCACGGGCCACACACAGTCTGGGTCTGGTGATCAAACGTGCGCACCGTGTTGGGGGCGATTAGACCACTATTTCCCATGAGGGGCAAAATCTCCAACTGGACACGATAGACCATGCCCGGGGTGTTCACTGCTGGTGTCACTGCGGATGCCACTTCCATAAGTTGGATATTCCCCATAGGTCCCAGGTAGTTTGCCAGTATCCTTAAAGCAGCCTGCAGTGCCAATACGCAGTGGCTGATCCAGTGATAGGGTGTGCGCTTGTTTGTCACACTAGCCAGCCAGTCATTAGCCCCGCTGTGGGTATAAAATCCAATAGGCATTAAGCCTACCTGGTTTACGACTTCCGCCACAAAGTCAACCAACTCTGGCCCAGCACTCAGGCCCCACTCCACAGGCCTCGCGAGCAGACATGAGTCTACTGCCAAGCAATTGCCTTGGCCAGGCACAGTAGCTCTGAAGAGATATCTGAACAAGCAGACGAACAGTGCATTGGGTGCCTGAGCACTCATATTGTTGAATGCTCGATTTGTCCAAGTGTCCTTTGGCACATTGCCGCCGGTCATCTTCTTGATGAGGCTCTTCAAGCGTAGGAAGAAAGCGCTTGTCACTGCTCCATCCTTGTCAATGAACCTAGCGTCGAATGTGTTCGAGGCTGCTAGTGCTACAAGGCTGGGCGGGTTGTCGGCACTCCTTAGGATGATGGCAGCAATGTCGCGTCCAGTTAAGTTATAACTCCTCAGGATGGTGCGGGCCGCTGCAGAAGTGATAGCGCCCAACAGCATGAGCACAAGGTCCCAGTGTGCAAATGACCGCATTAGGTCAGTAGCTAGCTCCGATGCATGTGGATCCTTACGGACCATGCGGCACAACATCTGGCAGATTGATACATCGCCAGGCTCTGGCAGCAGGATGTTAGGCACAGCCTCCATGGTTGACAGTAGCGGTACAGCCCGCATCAGGACGGGGCGATGGTCCGGGCCATAGGTCAGAATCCCTTGCGCTGCTTGCGGGTGGCGTTCATAAGCTTCAGGTCCTGCAAGTCGGGGATCACCTTCTTCAAGCACTTCCACGGCGTCAATAGGGTTGAGAGGATCTTGAGGCTGATAGGGGATGTTGTTTGCTGCAACCGGCACATCCACGGTCATGCTCCACGATGCAGAGGCTATAGATGCAGCCTCGTGGGCGGCTGCGTAGAAGTCATCCATACAGGCGTGCCTCTGCCCATACCTAATCAGGAACTCCAACAGTTGTGCTGCGGTTGGCACCACATTTCCCAGATTAGGAGCCGCTGCAGTTGACATGACAAAAAGGTATGACGGGATGGCTGGCCACAGCAGATGATCCACCACGCTGATTGGGTTGGCCGCCGGTGGTTCCAGGACCTGGCCTCCCGCCGCTAGCATGGAGGCGCATAGCCTGTCAGTGTCCGTGACTCCATCTTCAGCACAGATGAAGAACACCGAACCTGCATGTGCCTGATTTAGCATGTGTGCCACTCCCACAGCATCTAAAGGTGTCTGGATAATCACTAAGTTGCCGGCCTGCACACCAGCCAGGTTGAGCACTACTCCAGTACGTGCTGCATGGGTGATTTGGTGGATTAGGAGATGCCCCTTCACAAACAGGCCCTTGAGAGATCTTCGCTCTGTTCTGAAGTTCAGCAGGTGGGGGTAGTTCATTAACTTGATACCCTGCGCGCAGACTATCTTCCCGCCGAGCTTTGATTCCAATTTGCGGCCAGACACCACATCCCCCTCTAGCAATGGAGCTAAGGCAGCCTTATCGCACACTTTGGCCATGGGCGCGGGGCCCCATTGCACGTCAGTGCCTTGGTGAGCAACTCTTATGTCAATCTTATTCCCGACAGGGGCGACCGGCGGATGGACTGGCCTGAGACGAGGGGTGTCCTGGAGCTCTGCCGGTAGGGCAGCCGGCGGGGTGGCCGGGGGGGCATTCCAGAGCCGATTGACAGTGGTCGAAGTTGACCTTTGACGATTTTGCTCATTTTTGGCTCAAATGTTACCTACCCATAGGTGAACATCCCCACAAAATTTCAGCCCTCTAGGTCAGTTCGTATGGGACCTGTGAGCAATCAAAGTTTTTGGCTATTTTGCTTTAGTCGTTTTTGACCAAATTGCACTTTTTTACTGACGTGCTCCGGAATTCTTTTCTTTTCGGTCCTGAGGTCTGAAAATTGGAACTCGAATGTAAAATTGAGTGGGGAATCCGAATCTGCACGCAGAATCGACCTTAAAGCAGTCCTTCGTTGATAAAAACGCACTCAAAGCCAAAAAGGGACTTTTTTTTAGTGTTTTACAACCTTCAATTTTCTCCCCATCCCGGAATCCAAACTGGACCCGTTCTAGGCGGGAAATTATTCCTTAGACAACTACCTAAAAATAAGCGGCTCGAGTTACCGAGGGTATGGGTATGGTTTGGGCGCTGCAGTGCTCGCAACTTTGACAACTGCTGAATGTTCAATCGAATGAGATTTCATTAATCGGTGCGTCTGACAGCAATTTGCATAAAGACTTTTTTCTTCAAAATTTGATTTCTGACAAGTTGTTCTCAGGACATTTTGCTCTATCTCTAACGGTTTGTGAAATATGAGGCTAAGATGGTTTGGGACCGAAAAATATGTCTCTGGAGTACTATCTAGTTTTGATCAGGACCTCTTGAAACGCCTTTTTAACATAGTCCCTCGAGACATTTTTCGGAGACTGAAAGTCGAAAAGTGCTAACCACCGGTCCGGTGGTCCATCACAGGTCCCATACGAACTGACCTAGAGGGCTGAAATTTTGTGGGGATGTTCACCTATGGGTAGGTAACATTTGAGCCAAAAATGAGCAAAATCGTCAAAGGTCAACTTCGACCACTGTCAATCGGCTCTGGAATGCCCCTCGGCTCATTCTCTACTGAGAGCCAGAATATTACATTGGTGGCAGCGGTGGGATTTGACTTATCGGGGAGATCTTCGCCGCACGCCGGAGCCCCGGCACCCTTGCCGCCCGGCTGATGTCCCAGCCGAGGCCGTCCCGGACATCCCGGCGACTCGCCCAGCTTCCCCCGGGGCTCCGGCGTGCGGCGAAGATCTCCCCGATAAGTCAAATCCCACCGCTGCCACCAATGTAATATTCTGGCTCTCAGTAGAGAATGAGCCGAGTCACTTGGAGGTGGGAAGGATTTATTGGAGACAGGGTACAAGTGAGAGCGTCCTCTCGGTACCAGAGCAGTCAGCCGTCTGGCAAGAATCGCCCCGCGCGGGGGCCCGGCCCGTCCCGAACAATGGCACTCCGTGAGGGCCGGGGTACAGCCAAAGCCGAGTAACTTCGGTCAAGTCCCGAATATCACACTTCATCCCCCTCCGGGTTCCGGGGAGGAAGGAGGCTGCTCGGAGTGGTGGCCGGGAAATCCGGGAGCCGGGAACGGGAGCGGGAACGGGAGCCGGGGAGCGGGGCCGGGGAGCGCCGGGAGCCGGACGGGTGCCGGGGGACTGGACGGAAGCTGGAGTCAGGAGCACGCGGGAACGCCGGGCATCCGGCAGGTGGTCGGGGTCAGGAACTCGGGAGCGCCGGGTGTCCGTCCAGGCAGGCGGACGGAGTCAGGATCTCGGGGGCGCCGGGAGTCCGGGCGGAGGGCGGAGACAGGAGCCCGGGCGACTGGCGCAGCGCTGCTGATGCGCGGAAAGGCCAGCTCGGGGCCTGGAACTGAAAATTTGTTGACCGGGATGGTCCGGAGGCTGGTTCGGTACCAGATTGCTTCATGCCGCGCGGCGGGCCGGGGCGGGCGGAGTGCGGGGGCGGCTGCGGAAGCCGGGATCCGCCTGGATCGCCGCGAGGATGCGCCGGGCGTCCGCGAGGACCTGGGCCGGCGACTGCAGCCCGTCAATGACGTGGACTGGGGCGTCCTCGTGCTCCAGCAACCAGGCCTCGGTCAGGGAGTGGAGGTCGGCCAGGTACGCGGCGGTCACCGCCGATTCCTCGGGCCGGCCGCGTCGCGCCAGCCGCTGGTACGCCACCGCGGGCGGCGTACGCACATTAGGGTGGACCGTGAAACACGATTTTTCGATATCGCAACCGTAATAGCGCGCCAAAGTTACTTCATGGCAATACAAACTCAACGCGATCTGGGCCAGGTCTGTAACTTAAAGCTTGACCCTCGCGCATCGACGTAGAAAATTCGAAAATTCGTCTTTTACGGGTTTTCTAAAAACAGCCATAGAAACTGAACCTGATGTTCAAATGATGTTTCCGAGACGGAAATGGAAACGTCTGATCATGCTTTATCAGTTTAAGACTACCGGGACCCTCTACGAGCAGTACCGGGCCGAGGGAAGACAATCACAAAATTACTTTTTTTTTCCCCGTTTCTTTCTAAATGCAAAAATTGCCTTCAGGGTTTGATACGGCCATCCTGACGTCACTGTACCCGAACCATACCCCGAATCATCTTTTCTAAGGCCCCCCTTTCCCGTTTTAAGCACAGGGGGTACCCCGGGACCCGTTCACACGTTAGAATTTGGACGCCAAAAACACATTTTTTAATAAAAATGCCAATTATCGGTCCCGGGGGCACTGTGGGGCACTCGTCTCATCCGTATGGACTGTAGTGACTAAAAATCGATTACTAGATGGTGTCTTTGCGTCAGGCACCTACCAGTATTTGACAATCGGATGGAGAGACCTTTAGAACGCTATTTCCATTAAAGGGTTTGGTTAATCCGTTTTCCACCCGGTGGAAGGATCTTTAGTTAAACTGTAGTTTCGACTACAGTCCCAAAAAACTGCAGTTCCCGAACAAAAGTTATTTTTAAAAAGAAACTAAAGACTAAATAAAATTCCACTTTGCAGTTAAAATTGTAGTTTTCTGTCA